ACAGCGTTATTAAGAAAAACATTCAGCATGGAATTTTCTTGTCATCCCTTCATTCACTTTGATGGGTTTGTAAGAAGTGGGTACTTTGTGATAATCTCACTCTCTCGGAATGCAGAACAGGACACCGTCTCCCGTGTGCATTTGTTTTGTTCTTTTGCTTTCATTCTTCGTTTGCTGACCTCATTAACGCCTGTTGGTTTTCGGAGAAATGCTCGTCTTCGGGCTTGCATGCCATTCAGTTTTATTCTCCATCTGTAAATCAAAGACAGCGACAGCCTCCCTCATCTGTGCTCCAACCAAAACCACTGTCAGCAACGCGGCTTCGCAGCAGAAACCTTCGTATCGAGATTCAGGGATCCCAATGAGCGCTGCGTTGCACATGGCTTATTCACTAGCACTGTCCGGCACACATGTGCAAGGGAGTCCAAGGTTATCCGTTACTTTGAGACATTTGCTTCGATTCGGATCATGCAGTCTTGTGTGCCCGCATAACACTTTGTCTTACTGCCTCGACTTAGTGCTTAACTTTATTGGCACTGCATTGTCAACTGCATTCACACTCCGGTAGGTAAGAAGACCTGTCAGAATGCCACACCATCTATCAAGAATAAGGTGGACCTACTAGGTATGGACGGAACGACTTCCAATCACAATCCAATCATTGGGCGGGTTCCTGGAGCGTCTATTTACCAAAGTGAAATACACAACTTTATTTCTTTATAACAATTGTATTAGAGCACCCGTATCACTGAACTGTAACCTAACCAGTATTCTCAATATAGACTTTGGATGACAGTGGACGGCTACGGTTCTTAAGCTGGTGATGACCAATAAAGCAGTGGATATCACAGGAGTTTTCAACCTATTCAACGCATGGGAGAGCGAAAGATTCCTGTGCTTTAGTCAGTGGCTTAGAAAAGCCCGTATCTGCTTCATTCTTTGGCTGTCGAGTATAACGCTGGGCCGAGCACTTCGATGTACAATTCAGCCAGGTCTGTCATCAAACTTGCCACTTGAGTCATCTGAATCCACCTGGAGTATAGGATAATGTTAGCGATTCTATCAAACGAAGTTCAGTTTTGTTGACGTAATATAAGGCACCTGGTACATACGTTCTTTCGCTGTTGTTGCTAATGGATAACAGCTCACTGGTGACTAGTTTGGCTTATCTGTTGTACCCCATTTGACCCACGGAGAATATGATCACTGGCTGTTGTCTTGCATTTTGTTAATCTTCGAAAAGAGTCGAGAGATTTCGTGTAGTAAGCCTCGTGTTGCCAGTTGGATCCCGGTTTTTCTCAAACACATCTAGCACAGCTAGCTATTAAACAACTTTATCTACGAATTTTCAAAAGCAAAGCCACCCACTGCCCAGACATCTAGTGCACTTGCCACATTTGTACTTTTAGTCAGGCTCTTGATAGCATCAAACTTGGGAACTTTTGGAATAAGCTCCTAAGAAATGAACCAGTGGACCCCATGTTGACCAAAATCCAACCTTTTCTCAAAAGTCCAATGGAATTTTCCCATTGGTTGCTCAAATGAGCATTCTTGGACAATCTATTATTACTGACAAGTGAGGAACAACAGAGAACGGAGCAATTTCATGAGAGTTACGGAGAACATAGAAATAACGCGAGACTATGCCATGTAAGTGTCTTGGAATTTACCGCCATTAAAAACTGGTGACCGGAAGCTCTCCCTATTGTTCAGCCTAATCGGAACGCTCGGCTTCAAAGCAGCTAAGCTGAGACAGTGCGCGAATTTGAGGAGTAAAACACAGGCAACCTACTTTACCAGTCTTCTGTGATATCTGGGCTGACTTTGTTTCAATTAACTATGTCTGTTTATGACGGTGCCTAGCTTTCGGTGGCTTGCCTGCAAACTGTCCCCTCTGTTCCGAAGTCTCTATGTTACTTTGAACCTTGAAAGTGTCTACCTGACCCAGTCGCTGTAGATACCAGTGGCGCATCTGCAGTCGCTCTCCTGTGTCAAAAATGTATACTCTTTCATTATAGTGAACTTTCGATCATCTTCCGGTTAGTTGCCATGTCGTTGTCATGTTTTCTAGTCTTCAGTTAGTCATGCTATTTGATGTCTGTATGAAAGTCTTAGCACAAGTGAAGGTATTTGCGTTCCGCTGTTCGGTTGCTTGTCTGAACCAGACCCACGACATTTGCCTATTCCAGGGATGTCCAGACATCTTTGTACAGGGTGTCGGATTTTGTGAGGTAAAAATATGTCGGGCCATATTCAGTCTGACATGAATAGTATTAAAACAAATTACGTATATACGAAAGAGTCCCAAACCTGCATTTATTGTTTTATAATCTTTCCGGGAGCCAGTTGAAATGTTAACGCTGGTCGCATTTGGCCCGCGGGCCGGACTTAAGACATGCATGTTCTATTTCTTTGTGGTGGCTATACAAGTGGTCCAGCGTCCTTACTCGCGGAGCTCAGTAGATTTGCGACCATGACGTCAACGGTTAGACGTGAAATTCAGTTTTTGTTCCACCTGAAGAAGAAGGTTTGAGATACAGTTTCATGCTCGAGCAAAACCGAAGACGTACTGTTTGTCCATCTATTTGAGACCACAACTTAGCAGACGTTTTGATTATAGGAATATCGACCGCGTCTAAGTGTTCCTATCCAAGATTCTCACTTCGCCAAGCGCCGAATTTTGTCAGCTCACTAAGCGTTGTCAAGAGTTATGCGGGGTAAAAGACTTACAGTTCCGGATGTGAAATCTCAAGTAGTTACTGCGATCATAGGGGACTAACTTGTGGTTGCGTGGGATGACTTAATGAGTTGTGAGAAACTTTTCTCTCGTGCTCCGTGACTTAAGCGTAAATGCTTGGGTTGACATCCCAAAGTACGGCTTTTGAGTCGCACTCCTGCTATCCCTACCTAGTAAATGCAGTTGAGTACGAAGCAGATCATGGGAGTTTTGCAAAGAATTTTGCCAACGAGTAGCATCTAACCTTCATTTGTTATAGGTACGGTCCCAGAGACCGAGTTGACCATGGTTCACTTCCGTGCATGTCACAGTCCACACTTAGTTCGTATGTTGCAACCACGTCCCCACCGACTTCTCCAAAATAACCCATCCAATGGGGCATTAACCGTTGTGTCAAACATTGCTTGTCGTGACTCGGGGTCCATAAGGGTAGAGATTACGACCAACATCCCAACGGTTCCGGGTTCAAACAGCAATCCTTCCATATCCAGTTAATGACTGTAAACGGGTACGAAACCGACCTTGGTGCGCATTGTCGTAAGCGGAAGACGGTCAGGACTTTTCGGCTTCAGATGCAGTCCCAGTGAACGAACCGACCGACATTCACTTCGAGTGAGCCGAAGTTCCGACTGCGAGTCGCAATCTATTCACACGAGTGCTCCGAAATGACGACAGCAACGCGCCTGCTGGGATGTATCCCACCATGCCCCTGGCTGAAATCATTTTGTGAACTTGTTATGTTACATCATCGACGCCATGGCAGTTGCTAACCAAGACCTAGACGTATTCGGCGGGAAGAAGACCAACGAGGTGCCATACGTTCTAGCTGAGGAGGAATGCACTGGCTGGAAGGAGAGAACTGTTTCGGTCAAGCATGAACGACGCTTAACGGGCTTCTACGTACAGCATCTTTGCACTGGCCTGAGCAGAACCGAGCGAACAGAGAAAATGGACCGATGAACTCAAGTGGGCAGCACTTAAGTGGCAACAAGAGTTGTGTAGCGAAAACGGGGCACAATAGAGCAAAGATCAACCTTGTCATTGATTTCCGTGTGGTCACTCAACACTAAAAACCGCTGGTTAGGTCATATTCACTGAATCCTAAATTGATGGTTCATTTAAAATGCCTACAAAAGCACATGGATGAGTAACTAGGGGTAACGTCGAGTTTTGAGGTAGTTTGCTTACTTATTTTTCTAGGACTACAAATCTTGCATGCAACAGTGATAGTCGAAACGGTGAAAACTTTACTGGGCCAAACCAATATAATTCAAAAAATTACGCACTATAGCGACAAATCACTCAGAAATCATGAGCTAACTCTTTTCCACCGGACTGAAAATCAACAAAGTCGGAAATGGAATACGAGTCAACTCAAGGCATCCAAGCGATTTGTCTCTTGTAGTACCCAATAATCTGTGTTTCCGGCACCATCGTATCAACAACAGCAACAATCCAAGAGGGCATTCCCACGTGTGAATTGAACTCATGCTTGTTGGCCCTCTTGGATTGTGGCTGTTGTTGATACGTCCGTGCCAGAAACACAGATTATTGGGTACTGTAAGCGATTTATCGCTTGGAGCTACTATCAAGCCATACGTCTCCTGTTTTCACGAACGCAGGATAGTAGAGTTGGAGCAAAGGAGTAATGATTTATGACGCTTGACATGTCTCGTAAGATTGTTAGGGTGAAAATCGCAAAAGGATAAAAACCGTGTCAATAAAACAACATGTGAGATACATGACTCACGAGTGGGTTTGCAGGAGCATTTAAGCGAATATCCCTGCCTCGATTGTAGGGGGGTTTTAAACACGACTACTGTTTGTTGTGCATTAATGCTATCATCTGATGCTCACGGGCTACATCACGTAGTGTAGATGTGAACAGTTGAGTAATTCACAACTTTATCATCGTCACAACAATGTCACGTTTTCCATTAAGGTCCTTGTTATTATCATCCAAGTTATGTATATGTTCCCGGAGCTGATGGTCAAATTTCTGTTAACATTTCCAAACCAGATGTTCATCTGCTTATCCTACACCGCACATTGATCGCAAGTCTAGTTCATCTAAAAGGTTCGTTTAGTTACAAGCTGCCCCCTCCCTCCGTAAAAACGCATACACGAGAAAGCCTAGACAGACGCAATGTGTTTAATTGATCGACTTTGTGCCTACATTAACATACTTTCACGGTTGTGTATTTGGCATTGGCCGCTTGTCCAACCGGTGACACGCACATCGTGAGACGGTGACTCGTGTGTCAAGGACGTCACGCTGCTCGTAAGGTCGGGCGGTGGTGTTGCACAGTTTCGCTTCCACTGTGCATCAGCTGTGGTGCACTTTGAACTTAGCCATCGAAATGCATTTGTGATTCTGCATTCTATTGTTTGATTGATGATTCAGGTGCTAAGGGAACACATTATTGTTTGCCCCCTATTTACCCGATGCGAACTGCTGCACCATCAAAATAAAAGATATGGTTATTTCAAGTAATTACACTGGACTTCCTGACTGCCAGAGAAATTCGTTGGTTGTGTTCGGTTGCACCGCCGCAGTCTACGTTTTCGGCATCACTTTGCTCTTGCTTATCCGTTTTGTCAAGTGCAGATGGGTTCTGAAGAATTCAGATGAAGACAGTTTGCATAAACTCATCAGGTCCAGGCAACTGCGATGGTTTCCTAAGCAGGCCGAAGCTTTGCTGACGGGGAAAACAATTGCCGGAAAACTTTTGGTATGAATTCTGATTCCGTCTTTACCATACGAATGCCCATTTATCTAGATATTTGTGCGTTCTGTTCTGTATTGTCTTTGCTCTGCCATTTACTTATTTAACACGTACAGGTTTGTCTATGAATATTAAGTTCACATTCTGGCTTTTTGCACACGCAGTAGTCAACAGTTGTGTATCCCGGTTGATCACCGACCACAATTCATCCTCGAGCTGAGCTCAAATTTCGTCTTCCTGTTGATTTTTATATTAAAGGTAACATTTGATGGTTTGACCCCCTTTTAAACCTGTTCAAGGTTATCGCATCGAAAAACCTGCTGAACACATGGTTATCAATGGACTGTATCATCGATCACTGTACCATCATCCCGTGCATACTAGCTTTCGTGTTCGGATTCTATCAATACGGTAACGCATCACGTCCAATTATGTGTCTGACGTACTTGCTCTACTCAGGTTTTGGATTTCTCTATTTCACCCGAGTGGTAAAAGCCATGGAATTTCTTCTACTACTGAAGATCGTCGACAGGGAAAGAAGTATGAGAAAACTAAAAATAATCTCCAATCTCTTGGCTGCTTGGCTTACTTTGGCTGGGGTCTTTTTACTGGTAAGTGGTGGGTACTCTCTTCCTACACCATGACCGACCGTGTTAGTGGCTGTTGTCTTGCCGTTAAGTCGTATATGGTGTTTACTTAACTGTGGGTACTTTAACTATTTATCCCTTTCTGATGCCAGCCGCGCTTTTTACATTTTGCCAATTCCTCCATAGCTTACCTTCTAGTAGTAGTCGTAGTAGTGTTAGTAATAATAATAATAGTGTGTATTCTCGGTTTCAAGAGACACACTTCTTTCGGTATGATCAACATGTACAACTGTTTCCTCGTAATGTCCACGGAATAGTCTAAATGTTTGAGGGAGTTGAATCGTATTTTACCGTGGGTTCTTTCAGCTCAAACACTCAATTAGGTACAGAATAATTCGTGGTGTCCCGACAGAGCATTCTGTGTATTCACTGAACCCTTTCTTTTTCTTTTCCTCTAGGCAGGAGAGGTAAAGCAGTTGTGTGGTGATACGAGGAGCATAAAATCGAATTTTTAACATATTTAACACGGTGTTTTGTTAAGCAAGAGATTTCCCTACAACTCGTGGTGATCTATGAAAGGGTAGTGAAAGATGAGGGTTTTTGTTTATTTCTCTCTTAACAGCTGTACCTGTAGGTCCAGGCAACCAGAAGGGAAGAGTGAATGGCAATGTATGGGACGGAGGTGGTTAGAATTATCCAACCGGATCAAGCGTTTTGGCCTAACCGTATGCTAAACATATGCGAGTAGTATGAAAACTGTGAAACACCAAAGGTGAAGGAGAAATGAAAACGTAGGTAGCGGAGACGATTAGCTTATCATCGCCACCTGATTTGTTTGATAAGCGTAAAATGTACCGTCGCTGAGCAACACAAATAACCATTGAAAGCGTGGATAAAGATGGTAAGACTTGGTCAGTGTTTCCTTGCCAACTCACATGTTTAGGTATACTGTAGAATAGGTATGGCTGACTCAGCATGAAGTGTGGTGATAAAAATGTGTTGATCAATTTCAGTTTGCAAGCCATTTACAGCTCAAATTTACTGGCGCTCCCATGAGGTAGGCTTTCCAGAGTAAAGAAGTAGTGTCGAGTGATAACGAGTGTGAGGATTCTGTCCTCTTTTCATCTTCCTTTTATAATGTATTTCTTCGGCAGGACCTGGTGAAGTATAAATACTATACATAAGCCATTCTGTGTTCGCTTGTGATCAGAACACCCATGTCTCAGCCCCTTCTTAAGTATTATTTTTTTCACTACACTTTAATTACAAAGTTGTTCTTACGTATTGCGGTGTTAAGACGTATGAAATTGCCATTTTAACGCCGGCTGCAATTCGCATGCTCATGTTTCAGTATGGAGACCGTTCCAGATATATATATCTACTTAGGTAGTATGTTCCGCGGATATTAGCTTTGTTTCGAACACTGGGAGTGAGTACTTGTTAGTCCCAATTTCATATCCACCGTCTTGTTTGAATTCATTCACAATATTTGTTGCTTATGAATCAAGTCAAAGTGGAATGTTTGTCTCAGCTTCATGGGTCTTATCCACGGGGACTCCAGATGTGGTATCCTACAACACTCGGGTTAGTTAAGTCTAGACGAAGGAGTAAAGAGTGTCTGTGAATAATCGCTGCCCCTTTTCTAGGCATACGCGGTCGCATTTCCTTCTGCTTGTAAAAATAAGCGAACATTATTGTAGCACAGGGTAAACGCATGCCATAAACTAGTGAAGCTTGAAGTCACGTACCGTGAATGGTTTTCAGATGAGTTTGCATTTCTTCGTACTCTCGCTCTTTTTAATTCAACCTGCATCCGAAACATTCAGAGGTATGGAATAACGGACGTCTAGATTATGTATAATCTTTTTATAGGAGTTAGGTTTACCAGCAAAGTAAAGAGCACGTAGTGAAACTTCATACTTGCATGTAAACATACGGCATGTGTCCGCGGATGGGGAAATTTGCCAATCGATGGGACCACGATTCCAAGGTCAGTAGGTCTACAAGACTTATTCAGAGTGTCGCTCAAGCGCCGGAGATCACAAGTGTGTAATATTTTGTTGTCGTCCGCAATGATAATTAGTGTCCCAAATTTTCTTGTTTCGTTTCATCACTTAAATATGTATGACAATGGACCCAACACACTACCATGAATCTAGCTACTTTTGATGATCATGAGGTGGGGATTTATTATGCCTAAAATCAAGTCTTCTGCGGTGGTAAAACCTTATTCCGCGGTCAAAATCAAACATTCCTCAAAATTACCGCTGTCTTAACATAAAATACTGTTCTTTCCCTGCGCAGGTTAAAATAAAGTGAAAACCAGGCACTTTCATCCACTATGTACATGTCAGTTATTTAATCAAAACAGAGGAATTTATATAAATCCCGATAAGATGTTTCGTGCTGTCGGCTGAAAGGTTGTTTTGGAGTTCGTTGGAGTTTATTGCAGTGGTATAGAGCAGAAGGAAGAATCCCATGTCAGATCCTTCGCCTCCCGTTCATAGCCGGGATCGCGCGGATCATTGCGATACGTCGTTCATAGGACACTGTCACGACGGCAGCGAAAACAACATGAGCTTCGCTTACTCAGCAGATAATAATCCAACAGTCCTTTGAAACTTCTCGCACTCAGCATGCCAACGTGTGGCGCTGGTAAATTGTTCCAGTCCATCACCACAAGGGTGGACAAAGTGACATCTGTAAGGACTCAGAGCCTCCTCCACTTAAACAGTTTCCAGGAGTGAGCTGAAAGAACATCTTTAGTTCATTTCCCATTATCCCTCTCAGTATGCGTCTAGTGTATATCAGATCAGCACGATTACAATGATAATCCAACGAAAACATGTTCATCGTTCAAACTCCCTGGTCATAAACAATTCTGAAACGCATGGATCGATTTCGACCCTCCTCGTTGAACTCTCTCTATGAATACACGTTCGGCCTTTGTAAGATGATAAACTGCTTGTCAGACAACATGTGCACGCTCCGTTCAGTATCTAACAAATCCACAGGAATATATAAATAACGGCCGACAATTGTGTAGTGCTTTTATAGGTCCCCCATCAGAAGGCCAGTGTGTCTTCATATTTCTCTCCGCGCAATTCTTCCACCACTTTCGTTAGGTTAGCCATTCGGCTGTCCTTGCTTAGCAGCCAAGTAGGCATGGAAATGCAGCTTAGCTGCGTGGATTACTGGGAAATATGTGATGAGCTGCTTGGGTTCGAGCAGTCTACAGACTTACAGAAACTGCGATATAGCCTCTGTTGTCGGCAAATGCTGAGCATTCTTGGCAGCTTTGGAGACAGCGTTGCAGTTCAGTTTGGATTTTTTTAGTCGCATCAAAGTTCAGCCCCTCTGCCTGAAGATACAGTGGCTAGTTTCCTCAACTGCAGTTTACAGCGATATAAATAAATTGCGGAGGTCGTCGTAAATCTTATGGGTTGCCATAGAATGTGATTCGGAGGTTTTAAGGGGACGGATGGTGTGCCTGCCAGTGCTCGCAACGCAACGCCATTGCTACTTCACTTGCTACTTCAGTGTAGTCTGTGTTGTTTCATCGGTTAGAAGATGTACAAGTTTACAGACACCAGCTTAAAATTATTTCATACAGTTTGGGACATGGTTGGGTAATGGTGCGAAAACTTACTGTAATATGCAATCGTTTCCATCCAGGAATTCCGGCCGGTGATGACTGGTGCAGGTGGGCCGATCATGTTATTAATGCCTTCCTGAGTTAGATATTAAATGTATGTACACTTCTTTCTTCCCGAAAGTTGGGAAGTACTTTTCATTGTTACAACGAATCCGTCGAGTTCCGGACAGACTTTGCAAAGGATCTCTTTAATCAACTTGATGCACTGAACAGAAGATGTAAACTGAATCGCTTCCTCATAAACAGGCTTCATGACATTTCGATAGCGTGGTGTCACATACCTAATGCCATCGGACACGCAAACCATCATACGACTGAAGTCGATATCCAGCATGGTCTAGTTGAGCAGAATGGTTCTTCCAAGGTTGACTATGTTGATGAGGTATTCTCGTAGACTGTCCTTGCTGAACTTCAATGGTGATCATAACAGAATGTGCAGTGCCATCTTCCCGTGATAATCAGCAGTTTCTTCTGTTTGGCGATGACTAGCAATCACGGTGCATCTTTTCGAGTTCCGTTCTTGTTTCCGGTATAGCAGATTAATTTCCAGACGCAGCACCTTTGATCCGGCAGGGCTTCTACCAGTTCGTACGTGCCTGTGAAGAAATTCCCTCAACTGGATCTGTCGGCAGTTACCATCGTAAGTTGAGAGTCAGATACCCCTGCGTCGCGGGCTTTCAGGGTAGCATCTGCAACGGACATGCAATTAATATTGCTTGCTTGTCTAGCTTCCTTGGGAGCTGGTTGCCTCTTGGAAACAACTTTGGCTGCGGGCTCCTACTTGTGGGATTTCTTCTGAGGATGCTTCTGGCCGCTAAAGCGGTCATCCACGATTTGTTTCCGAGATTTATGCATAGTCACTTCACATGAAGAACAAAACAGTTATGTCTCATTCTTCACTCTGTCCCAGGCAGTTTCCTCCTAAATACTGTATTATTTTCTAAGATGACATCTGCAACAAGTTAAAGCTTGCCGATCATACTGATGATAACAAAAGCGAATTCAAAGTAGCTTACTTTATGAATTTCGCCATTTTCCGCAATTCCGCGAAATTCTTTGTTTTCCTCAAACTCTATAAATGCAGCGAAATTTCCGCGTTTTCGCGGAATCGCGGAGATCTGCTAGCTTATGTTGGACTTGTGTGTTATACGCGAACCGTGAGCTAGAATTTGAAACATACATGCAGGCGCTCAGTGAAATCGATCTTCTTAGTCTCCAAATGGGCTATTATGCAGCACTCTGTCAAAGGTCTTCTGCATGTCAGTGAAGAAAATACTGGCGGCTTTATCACCGCGCATGGAGCTTGTCAGGTTAGTTAGTAGTACAAGCTGACAACTTTGGCATCGGCATTTTGTCAGAACTCATATTA